GTCCCAGAACAGATCTGCGAGGAGGGCTTGCGGGTTGTGTTCAATGACTGTCTTCAACGAGAAGACCTGGAATAGATCTATGACGGCGTAAGGTCTGCGACGGTGGGGTGGGGGAGGGGCGATGACAAGAACATCGGCAGTGGTGCCGAAGAACGGTCGGTCGGTGAACCGCCGCCGGCGTTGGCAACACCGGTAGATGGCTTATGACGGTGGAGAGGGCAAATAGGTTGAGGGGTATAAGGGGAAAGTCAATACAATTTTTATCACACATAAATTTGCGTGCCGGGTCAAACCGGGAAGTTCTTTTTTGGACGGAGGGAGTAGTTAATAGGAGTTATTTTCTTAGTCACAGATTCAATTCTTTAAAAATAAAGTATTTTTAAGGATGGACAAAAAAAGTAAAATTTTTTATAGGACGGATGAAATATAACTTTATTATAGAATTACAAATGTTAGATGTTACACGAGCCCGTGTGAAACTAGTATATATATAAAGTAGAGCGGTTTAATTGATGTTGCGACATTTGTCCATCCATGTGTGCTGACAACTAGATCAGTTTTGCTTAGTCATCCTGCCATGTTGATATTTGAATCAATAATGAGATGTTCGGGAAAGGCTCAACCCCTATGAACAGAGAGCGAAAAACTGAAATGGCAGGGAGGTGAAACGGTGAAGAGTCTCTTCGAAGCAACAGCAGGAACTCCAAAAAAACCCTAGGAAGATTTCGGATGATTGGAGAGGAAGACCGAACTACCTGCTTCTTTAGACAAAACCACTGCCCTCAATCTTTTTCTGCGTCCAGGTTATTGACTGAATTTATTAGTTTCAATTCCTAATCAGTCCTAGCAAATCATCAAGATTCAAATCTTAATTTTATCCAAGAATGGATGCAGAGGTATTCATATTAGCCTACTGCTTTGCTATAGTTTTCTCCATTGAAAACACTTTCATGACTCATCAGGAGTACAGAGTCCTTTGCCAGCCTCAACTCAACATCAGAAAGTGGAATGGTCGCAGGTTAGTATTGTTTTTCTTAATTAAATTTAATTATTTAATTATGATTTTCAATTCGTTGCTCTTTGTTACTGTTTTCATGAACCTTTCGGTGCTATATGTGTTTTGATTATCCAAGTATAATAGTAACATAATCTAATGATATCAACATGATATCATCTGCAAAAGCCAAGTGAGTGATGCCAAGTGAAGCACAATCCTTATGGTAAGAGAAGACTCCCTCTTTTGCTTTAGTGTTGAGCATTCTAGAGAAGTACTCGATGCAAAAGAGAAAAAGAGTTGGTGCCATTGGATCACCCTGTCTCAAACCCCTCTTACTCTTGAAAAAGCCATGACCCTCACCATTTACCATGATAGAAGAGGAAGCTGTGGTTACACATTCCATAATAAGAGAAATGAATCTAGTAGGAAACCCCAGGCCAACCATAACTGCCTCCAAGAACCTCCAAGAAACCGTGTCATAAGCCTTAGTGATGTCCAATTTAATCATGCAACTAGGGACAGATCTTTTCACTGCATAATCTCTAACCAAGTGTTGGGCTAGGAGGAAATTATCCACAAGTGATCTTCCCTGGACAAAGGCACCTTGGGCTGGATCAATCAACTCAGGTAGCAGGGGGGCCATACGCCTAGCTAAGATCTTAGTGATGATCTTGTAAAGAACATTTAGGCAAGCAATAGGCCTAAAATCCCTTACAGAAGGATTATGTGTTGTTTTAGGGATCAAAACAATCATAGCATGGTTCAACTCTTTTAGGAGCTTCCCGGTGTTGAAGAATTCCAGAACAGCCCCATAGACATCCTGCCCAACAATATCCCACTGGGTCTTGAAGAAGGCAGCAGTATACCCATCTGGTCCTGGTGCCTTGTCACTGCCAATTTCATAAACCACCCCACGAACCTCCTCCATTGTAACAGTAACCAGGAGGGATGAGTAAGCAGAGGCAGGGACAGAGGGTCCAGTGGTTAAAAATTCATGGTTGATGGGTTCCACATTGGAGGCATTCCCAAAAAGAGCTGTATAGTACTCCAAAAAGCAGTCGGAAACTTCTTTTAAGGAGGTGATTTTGGATGCATCCCCTTTAACCAAGAAGGGAATTGCATTCTTCCTTCTATTCTTGTTAACCAGAGAATGGAAGTAGCTGGTACACTTATCAGCCTTCATGAGAAAGTCACATTTAGCCTTTTGTTGGTAGAACTCTAGCTCAGCATCAAGGAAGAAGTTGGCCTGCTTTCACTTGATTTCAGCATTGTCCAGAAGAGCTTGATCATTAGGGTTTATCATAAGCTCCTTCATCACATCAGAGTAAGCCTGTTTAGCTTCCTTGGCCCTGTTAGATATGTGACTAAAGGAGTTGTTGTTGAGAGACTTCAAGGGATGTTTAAGCCGCTTCAATTTGGAACAAAGAGAGAACTGCTTGGATCCCAGAACAGGAGGTTGCCAATACTGGAGGACTAGACCCTGAAAGGTCTCATGCTTGATCCACATGTTAAAGAATCTAAAAGGCTTGCTTCTTCTAGAAGAGGGGCTGCCACATTGAAACAACAAGGGGCAATGATCAGAAATCATATTAAAATCCAGGAAATCACAGCTTGGAACCCAACCATTGTCACCCCATCTGTTGTTGATGAGCACTCTGTCCAATTTTGCAAATTTGTTCCCTTTGTGCCAAGTGAAAAATGACCCTCTGGAAGGTACATCTTCAAGAGAATTAGAGGATCTGAAGTGTAGGAAATCAGTCATATAATATGCTCCTTGACTCATGCAATTGACCCTTTCATTAGCAGCAAGAACACAATTAAAATCACCCAAAACACCCCAGGGTTTGGTACATACAGCAGCAAAAGAGGAGAGAGTAGACCATAATTCCCTCCTAATAGATACAGTATAGAGTGCATAAACAAAAGAGAGGGTAAACTCCTTCTGAGTTGTAAGGCAGTTAATATCACAGTGGATATATTGTTCACCCTTATCCAAAACACTACAATAAAAAAAGGAAGGATTCCATAAAAGCAAAATACGTCCACCAGGCATAACATCAAAATTAGTGGCATACTTCCAGGAGGGTAGCTTGGCATTCACAAAACCCTCCAGCTTGGCTCCCGATAGTTTAGTTTCAAGAATGCAAACAAAATAGACACCAAGTTCCAAAAGATATTTACACAAAAATTTCTGTTTAGAGGACCTGTTCAGTCCTCTAATATTCCAACAGAGGATTTTCATTTGTGAGGGGGGCCCGGCCCCTTTCCTCCCTTCTTAAGATCATGCTTCTTACCAACAGGAGCACCTTCCTGCACTTTCTTCTTTCTGTTTTCCATGCCAGCCCCACCAACCCCAGTTCCAACAGGTACTTTACTCAAAACACCAACACCAACAGTGTGAGGTTCTTCCAAGTTCTTGGCAGTGTGTGAAGAAGAAGGAATAGATCCCCCTTTTGGTTCTGTATGGCCTCCAACTCCTTTGCTCTTGCCAATAGGAACCCACTCCTTAGAAACAAGCTTTGTTTGCACCACTGGCTTGTCCAATTCCTTCTTCTTAATCAGTTCCAAAGCCCTGCAGTTGAATGGGCTATGATTCCATGTGAGGCAGTGGAAACAGTACCGAGGCTCCTCCTCAAATACCACTGTCTGGACATAGGTTTTTCCCATGCATTCCACCTCAAACTTTGTTACAGGTTCTTGGGAGAAATCCACCTCAACAAGAACCCTACAAAAGCCGCTTTTCCCCAGTTGTTTAGTCACCAAATCTGTACGAAGAGGTTTACCCACTTTGGAAGCCAGCATTCCAATACCCTCTTCTGACCACAGTTGCATTGGGACATTATGTAGTTGAATCCAGACAGGCAATGTGGTGAACTCAGCAAAGTCAAACATGAATCCATGAGAGGGAATTTTCAATCTAAACTCTTTTCCATAAGCTTTGCTTCGTTCCATACCAAGCACTTCATACCGGTCCTTATCATTCTCAAATTTGAGCACCACCCAACCCTTGCAATGGGGTATGATTCTACAAGGAGTATTCCAGCTTTTGACAATGGCATCAACAGCCTTAAGCCCAGGGAAATGCCCAGTGAAGCAGCCCACAAGACAAAAGCCCCAAATGTCTTCCACTGGTTTGATAATAGAGTCTGGAATGCGGAGGACACCTTCGCCAACATCGTAGTGTTTCAGCGTCATACCTTGGTCAGGGTCCCTATTACCTTTGAATAAGTCAGCAAAGGTAGTAGGTTTAGGAGTAATCTTGTCTGATTGAGGCATTTCATCGAGCACATGGGGGGTCACTAGAGCAGAAGTTATCCCCACCTGAGCAACAGAGTCTACAACCTCCTCAACCTGTTGGGGCGAATTCTCAGACGTGGAGGAAGAGGTCTGAGCCTTCTCCTTCCCCTTCAGTTCCGCAGCAGTATCAGTTTCCAAGCTAGTCTCCTTCGTAGTCTCATCTTCATTCCCTTTCTTCTTGGGACTCTTGGGAACCTTCTTCTTCGTCTTCTTACCACTCTGGGCTTTGCCGGAGCCCATAACAGCAGAGAAACTTCAAGAAAGGAAGGCCAAAGACATCAGAGAGGAGGATGAACAGTTACCACATACTCCGTTTGAAACTTTCTTAATAGCAAATGTTGACGTTTTTGATACTTTCTTTTTACTATTTGTTTGATATAGGCTTGAATTTGGAGAAAAAGTTTTATTATAATGACACTTTTATGGAATAATTATTATGGGATTTTATAGTTTTGTTTAACGCTTCAATAGATCAATTCCATTTCTTCTTCTTCTAGACTACATATGGATTGTGTTACTGATCTCTCACCATATTATTCCGTTCAACAACCTCTTACACCCTCAATTTATCTTCTTCATTCTCTTCCTTGGTTATATGTTCTTCGGTAAGCTTATTAACATTAGATTTGGCGGCCACAACCCAGCCCTTTAGTAGCAATTTGAATGTAAATTTCTTACTTATTCCATCTTCATATTTTTACAGTTTTTCCTTCATTAATTTGATTCTGAAAATAGTAATATTTGAGCATGCACACAAAGTGTTTGTTAAATTTACTCCTATGGTGTGCTCTTTTCTAAATTTGAACAAGTGTTTTCATCAAAATTTTCCTCATGACCATCCGTTCATTTTTCGTGAATTGGGACCTACTCAGGAGCCTTCATCGATCAGATATTTTCTTCATATATCTTTCTCTTATATGTGAATGCAACCCTTAAATAACAATTATCTCCATTACCTTCTCATTTTAGTTTGCGTCTGACTATGGATTTCTGACATAAGGTAAAATTGAAGGGGGGTACGTGGTTTGAATCTTTTGGTTCTTGCTGGAGTAAAATATTTTCTATTTCCCACTATGACTGGATTTTCTTCGGATAATAACTTTTTTTACACGTTGTTATAGGGTGTTCTTCATGAGTACCTGAAGGGTAAGGCTGAACTCAATCCATTGACATCGATTAATTTGGCAATGGAAATTACTAGGTAATTTTAAAGTATTATATTTGTTTCTTTTGTTAAGTACCATTATCAGCTTTCTAACTTTTCTTAGCAGTACTTTTAAACGTAGTATTAATCTTCGTAGAGGTATGCTCTATTTTCACAATGAGGTAAATATTAAACTATTTAGTTCACATGGATCTATATTCAAGGAAAGTTCCCTGTAGTATGCATAATTCAATGGGACTTTTTGGTAGAACTTGAATTTGTGTATTGAACTCCTGGATGTGATGAGATTACTACCAATATAATGTTATAGAAAAAGTGTGCTTTTGCCTTCACACGTAAAAGCGCCACATAAGCGACACAAAAAGTTCACTTCATCCCTTACAAACTCCACAAGGTATGCTCTGTCTCATTTACACATATAAGCTCTAAAAATATTAGCTATGAATTAGAAGAGATAAAATTATGTTTGAGAAGAGAAAAAACCTTAGAAATATCCCTTTTTGTCAGATAAATTTCATCCTTATGCTTAAACAGCTGAATTGTAGGTAATTCAAGTGCCTTTCATGGAGGAAGTGAGGCACTTTTTTTTGTATAAACTACTTTCTTTGTTGGTCAGCCGGAAGTCCCACATATTTTTCTTCTATTTTTTCCTCCTTCCTTATGGGTTTTATTCTAGATCATGGCATCTTATATGCTTTCCAACTTGCAGATTTTGTACTATATTCCATTGCTCCTTATAAAAATGGTTTGCTTTGTCACTTAGTCATTTATCCCTCTCATTTTGGATATGAATGTTGATGGTGTTAAGTAAAAAAACTAATTAACCAAGATAAAATACGAAATCAGAAGGTAGTAAGTAGGAACTATTGTAACCCCGTTAATTTGTACATGACAATTAGAATAGACTCATTTCCTTCATTGTAAGCCTCCAAGTCTTGAGTCTTGCCTTTAAAATAAGATAGCTATATTGTTTTCAAATTCACTTTAAAACTTTGCTTTAAATTATTCTGGCAATTAATTCCTTAAGCAGATGTGGGACATATGCAAAACTTCAAATGTAGGTTAAATATTGAATATGCCTTTGAGAATGCATGTAATGATTCATGTCTTTTGATAAAGAAGCTTTATGTGTGGGCTAAATATTAGAACTATTACTCTTTTTAAGTACAGAACTATTACTTATAAATACTTCTTTCTTTCAAGACATGTACTGTAGGAACTTCCCATACACTGTGTATATCAATTGATGTCTCAAATGCTAATAGGTTGATTTTTTTGTATTTTCTTCATATCAACTGTTGTCTCAATTGCTGTCTATATATACGACCATCTTCTTCCATCCACGAGGCAGCATCCCTGACTTCACTAGCATTCTCCAGTCATCCTACACCCTTATATCAGCGTCTGTCACACTCCACCTCTCTGCAACGTTTCCTCATCACCCTGTTATTGCCTGATTGTCCGAATTGTGCAGACCCTATTTTGTCTAATTAGAGCTGAATTGATGCGGTTAGAGCTGAATTTTACTCCCTCCGTCCTAAATTGTTTGTCACATTTTGCAAAACGAATTAAATATCAAATTTTTTCAATTCATTTTATTTAAATATTGGTATAAAAATAAAAAATAAAATTTACATATTTAAAAACTACATGAAAAATTATTCAAAATAAAAGGTGTCAAGTATGTTTAATTTTATCAAATATCAATGAAAACGTACAAATAAAGAAAAGTTCCAGTGATTGTTGAAAAAGGAAATGTGGTTTTTTTCTGGACAGAGGGAGTATATTATTTTGAAGACTTATTAGGCAAAACATTGGGATACACCTCCATTAGGACTTGATTCATTATGGACTCTTTTTCCAACTATGCAGAATTTATGATCTTTTTATATATGGAGCCATGCATCAAAAGTTCACCATTATGAATCTTATGATGCACATTTCTACCAATAGCAAACTTTTTTTTGAGACTGTACTATACTCTCCAAAATTGTCTTAGAGGATGTTTTGGATACAAATGCTAAGAAGGCGCAAGATTTAGTTTTTCAGCATTGGGACTGACATGTGTCATATAACTCGGCGCTTGGCTTGATTTTTCTTTCTGAGTCGGACTGCGTTCTCTACCTCGAGGGTTATGAGTTTATGTGTCAAGCCATGTAGGGAACTTTTATGATTATTTGGAAAGTATTTTCTTTACTAACCAATTATAATGTTTCCGTTCCTGATGTTGGCAGGGGCAATCAACAGGTTGGTGCCGCATTTGTTGACGCCTCCACTGGTTTGGACTAACCAAGAATTGAAAAAATGGGGATTTTCAATGCAAAACTTTGAATCGAATCCATTTGACTGATTTTAAAGTGGAGAACGGCTAGACATTGTGAAAATAAAAGAGATTTAATTTTGAGAAAATATATAGTAGTTGCACAATCTCAGATGAGTAGATGTGTATGCACCGCGTTGAAGCATATTTAAACTTTGGGTGGGTTTGTCTATTCTCTATAAAATTGTTGGAGAGTTGAAAATTTTCAATTCAACATTACGGTAGTACTTAAAGTAGTGTAGTGTTCTTTTAATTGAAGGTTTAGGATACCTAAAGCATTAAATTTTATAGTTAGATATAGAATTGCATGTGTGCTAAATGATGGTTTCTATCATATGTGTAGGTTCTGAGCCAAAATGGATTAGAATAAGATAGTCCAACCCATGATGGTTTCCAACTTTCCATTTGTGATTAGCTTGACTGTAGTTTTGCCGCACGGGAATCCTTTGCCGAGCAGGATGTTAGTAATATCTTTTATTCTTTGTTTCGTTAAGTGTTTATTGGTATTAGTTTTGGTGTAAAACACTGATTAGTAATTTTCCATGGAACGGGCAGTATATCTCTGACACGTTATTCCAGTGACAGTTTAGCATTATTTATTAAGGTATGTATATTTCATCTAGCATAGCCATTTGCTGCTTCCCACACACAATCTTAGTAGGCGACATTCTTGTTACTATTATTGTTATTTATATTATTATTATTGTTATTGTTAATGTAATTATTATCATTAGTACTATTATAAAGTATGGAGGATATATCCATCGCAAATTATTCTTAATTTTCCATAGCTGTTTCACTTGATATTTTTTCCATAGTTGATTTTTAATTGTCAAATCTTTTTTAAGTTAAACGGTTGTACTCTAAGTCATGTTGGGGAAGAGGCAATGAGAGAAGATGCAAGTGAAATTTACAGTAGTAAATTTAATTGTGAGTTTCAGGAATTTATTCTTGCATTTATGGGTTTGATTGATTGACTCGGGTTGTTGATTTGTCGACATATTTTTGACATTCAAACAAGACTTGATCTTCACAAAATGGGTAAATGTCTCTTCTATGTTGTCTTTGAATCTCTATATAATGTCTTCTTCCTCAAACAAGTTTAAGAGTAGTTACTTGACTGTCAACACAAATCATCTTTTATCTCTCAGCTTGATTGTCACTCTTCTTATGAACATCAAAAGTCAATATTATCTGAGCTTCTTAAAGTTATTCATTAAGGTATGTATATATTATCTCGCTTTGTCATTTGCTACTGCCCACCCCCATATGAGTAGGTCATATTACCACGCTTATTACTAACTTTAAAATGGTATGTCTGGACTCTGGATTACTCAAAATCTTTATTATTTGAGATTTAAAGAATGCATAGCTTGACATAATATGTGACCTTTAACAATAATAAATAATTTCCATTACCATATACCACCCCAATCTCCTTTGATATGCTTAATGCAACAATAACCAAAGCCCATCTCTTTTCTCATTAGTACCTGACATTTTTGGCACACATTTCTTCATTATACCTTTTTGAAATTAATATTTCTGATTTGTGTGATGTGCTTTTGCTGATTTTTTTCTTCACAAATTGGCACCCCTAGAGTATTATAGTTCACTTGGGTACTCTGGGTGGGTGCTAGAGCTTCAAGAAAATGCCAATTTGCTACTCTAAAAAAATTCCTACTTTTCCTACCATTGTCTTTGGTGTCAAATGAAAATTATATTATGAAACAATAAAATTGTGGATTTGTTAGGCCTTGGCTAACAAAAAAGAATAATTTGTTCCACCATAACAAGTTCTAAAGACAATGCACTATCTTTTTGCAAATGAGCAAATAAGTTATGGGTAAGTCAGTTGGAACAATTATCTTTATATGCAGTTTTCACTTAGAATGGTTAAAAATTCTACATTTTTATAAGTAACATCTGTATTTAGATAAGAGAAACTAGACACTATTAAAATGGGAACAAAAAAAGAGAGCTTTATTTTTTTATGTTTTCTATTTTATATTAAAATAGAATGATATTTTTAAATGACACCTATGTGTGGTGTGGTGTTTGCAACTATCTGAATTAAGGGATGGGGTGGAAATTTCCAAATGTGGGTAACTTTCTATTATCAAGCACAAGATTGAAAAAATACTCCCTCCGTCCCAAAATATTTGTCACATTTGCTTTTTCAACAGCCGCGTGAACTTTTGTTTATTTCTACGTTTTCATTGGATATTTGTTAAAATAAAATATTTTTGACATCTCTTATTTCGAAGAACTTTTCATGTAGCTTTTTGATATGGAAATTTTATTTTTTATTTCCATACCAATATGTAAATGCAATGAATTGAAAAAACTAGATATTTTGCCTCGGGAATACAAGTGACAAATATTTAGAGATGGAGGGAGTAGAAAAGAAATCTTGAAATAAGATAATGAGGATAAGCAAATCATTTGTTTTGTTAATTATCAGTCCCTTCATTCCACAAGGTTAGTCATTACGTTTTCCTTTTTGCTGCCAATGTCTGAAAAAAGTATTAAAAAAAGCTAGAAAATATGTGCAGCGTGGCTACCAATCTATACATTTGTATAGTAATGGCATTGACTTTTAGATTAAATGTGTTAACCTTTTTATGATGTGCAAAATGAAAAGAAAGCAACATTATGACTGGGTAGATATGTGTTCAATAAAATGGGTACAAGATATGGAGCAAGAAGATGAAGACAATGTCTGTCTCAAAAATTGGGAATTCGTCGAAGGACAGAATGCTAACAAAGTGTGTCATGTTGAGGAAAACATTTTTTTTATTTCATCACCTCAACTTAGGCTTTGGTCTTAAGAGTGGTTCTCCTCTTTTTTAGAAGGACTTTGGTTTGATCCTCTCTTTTATTTTTATTTTTTGGCATTTTATAAAATTTACTATTCTTTATTTTTAAAAAATTCATGAACAAACTGGAGATAGATGACAAATGTCCTAGGGGTATAAAGAGGGCATTAAGGTTTGGAAATGATTAGTAATTTAGATTGTGTGAAAACCACTTATAAAATTTGATTCTTGAATTGTATTTGGAAAGGAAAATCTACTACCCATAGAAAATTTTATTTTGCATAAAACACATGCATACATCACCAGCCCGTGCAAAGCACGGGGTAGACCACTAGTTGTTCCATATAAGACTATTAGATGTTGGATTTCTCTAAATAGGACTACTAAGATTTTTTCTACCAAGACTGCGTTTCGTTCGCCTTATTTGATCTGATTTTTTGAAGTTCTAATATGATCTGGTCTAGTCTGATTTGACCTGATCTGATTTGATCTCATCTAATTGGATCTGATTTAATCTGATTGGATCTAATTAAAATAAAAATCAAAATTAAATTTTTTATTATAATACTTTTAATAATAGTTATAATAATAATATAAAAAATATTAATAATAATAGTAATAATAAAAATAATAATAATAAAAATAATAGTAATAATTATAGTAATAATAACTATAATAATAATACTAATAATAATATTAATTATAATAATAAAAATATTGATGCCAAAATCAATAATAATAATAATAGAAATAATAATAATAATAATGGTAATAACAATAATAATAGAAATAATAACAATAAAAATATAATTGATAATAGAAATAATATTAAAAGTAATAATAATATTAGTAACAATGATGATAATAATAATAATAGTAATACTAATAATATTAATAGTAATAATAATATTAGTAGTAGTAGTAGTAATAATAATAATAACAACAATAGTTATAATAATTTTAGTCATAATAATAATAGTAATTGTAATAGTAATATTAATAGTCATAATAATTATAATAGTAATAGTAACAATAATAATAATAATAGTAATAACAGAAATAATAATAAAAATAATAATATTAATAGTAGTAATAATAATAGTAATAGTAATAGTAATAATAGTAAGAATAAATATAATAATAATAGTAATAATAATAGTAACAATAACAATATTATTAATAGTAATAGTAATCATAATAATTATAACAATAGTAATATTAATTATAACCATAATATTAATAGTAATAGTAATAATAATACTAATAATATTGGTAATAATAGTAATAATAATAATAATAGTAATAATAATAATAATAATTTTGTTTAGATATATGGTCTGGTTTGATCTCATCTAATCTAATTGGGTCTAATCTCAGTGGATCTGAACTGGTCTAATATAATCTGATTTTAATAAGAATAAGTAATAAGCAGAAAAATTAAGTTGAACGGAACGCTGACCTATTTTCTCTCTATATGCAATTTTACCCTCCTCCCACGTTCTGTTTCTAGCTATTTTTAATAATGTTTTGTTTTATTTTCTTTTATAGGAGATAATCATTCATTAATGGCTTGTACTTTTTAGGAGTAATTCAAGAGAACATACCATTTACCACAATCTTATTTGCATAAATATCGTCTCTCTTCGTCTATGAAAATAGCATCTTATAAAGTTTCTATGTACGATTGCATAGGTGAAGACGTAAGAAGTGAGTCTTGTCTTATTTTAATTTTCTTATTTTGCTGCACAAATACAGTGAATTATTACACAATTTAAGTTTATAAATGTTAAATTATACCACCCAAAAAATGATAAATTACAATACAAATTTATTTTATTTAAATAATAAGACAATTTACCAAGATAAAGTATAAAAGTCATATTAAATCTTTTTTCTAATTTATTTGTGTTAAATATTCGACCATTTTAAATATCTCTTGTTTTATAGATTTTTATGTAGAGACCAAAAGTTACTCCCTCTGTCCCAATTTATAGCGCCTGTTTCGGTTTACGATGTTTGACTGAAATTGTTTTCAAATCATTTTATATGACAAATGGTATAAAGCTAAAAAATGAAAATTACATATCAAAATACTAAATCAAAAGATCCACAAAACTAATAGTGACAATAGTACTTTATTTTATCAAGTTGCTAATTAAAATAGAGAAAGAAAGTGAATGAAGTTTGACCTTCTGAATAAACATGCACACAGCGCATGTTCGGAGATCGGAGAGGGAAAAGAGAGGGAGTACTCTATCGACCAGTATCTTTCTCCTGGCAGCCGCGCTTCACACAGCGCAGATCGGAGAGGGAAAAGAGAGGGAGTACTCTATCGACCAGAATGAAAACAGAGATGACGGGCAGACCTTTAGGAACAACGCATCTTGAGGGAGAGGTAAAGGTGAAGGTCGTGGTTGCAGGAGTACAATCAACAATTCTTCATCTTTCTCAACATTGGCCCAGCGGCTACGGTACATTTCTATTTTTTTCATCAAATTCATATAGAAACTCTCCAATTAAGAATAGCTAACGGCACAACTCGGTGGTGATTGGCATGCTAAATAAGAGGTGCATTTATTTGTTTCAATCTCTTTAATCCCTTTGATGCACTTCCTACGGGTGGCAGAGCTCGGCTAGGCCAGCAACACCACCTGGCTTGCTGGATTTGGGATTGGCTTTGGTCTCTGGGATCACATATTTCATTTCTAGAATTTTACATCCGAGCATATCTAACATTGCTTCTAAGTATCTATTATCTAACATGGCATGAATGGCTAACGGTGCAGGTTAAATGATTTGGGTGTACTTGGCTACCACTTACTGTATCTCCCCTTAATATATGCCGTGTTTTTAGCCGACTTCTTTCAGGTAGTTACAATGATCAATTTTTTTTCTTCCCAATGAAGAATGACATTCTTATATGCACTTTGAGCTTCATCTGTCACTTGAGTCACCTTTATACTAATCGTTGTTCTATTTGGGGGCAACAAACATTTCAGGAAGAAGATTGGGATTAGCATACTATTCGGAGATGAAAGACGTGGGGTTCTTTGATGCAGATTGGAAATAGCATTTTACGCGTTGTGATCGCCTCATTGTCTATGTACTTTGTGAATATTTCCACTCATGTGAACTGTCCACAACCCCGTCCTGGAAACGCAGTGGGGGCAGATATCTTCCTCTTTGGTGATTGTGTGTAAACGGACCGTTCTTCTTTTAGAGATGTTAAGAATGTAGAAACTGTAAGGTTAATTCTTGGGGAGCAACATCATCCGCATCAGAGAGTAGATCTACTGGTCTTCTTCTTTCAACGTGGTAGCAAGGTAATGCTTTCTACTCGAGTTTTATTCAATTTTAAAAAAATTCTTTCATACTTTGTGGTATATATGTAATTTGATATATTTTTGCACTTGATATTTCAACTATTCTCTAATAATTATCTTTATTTGAGTGCATCAATCTGCAATTTTGAGTGTATTTCATAAGCTTACCTAAGATCAAGAGCCAATAGAGTGGGGTAATTTAAATTAGTGTTACACTGTCAATATATTTGTTCTTTTTTTGATAGGTTACCGCGAGTATACTATGAATGTGCCTGATATTGTTTGTAGTCTAGGTTCTGTTTGGGAAGGCTGGATTGACATATCTGCAGTGAAGGTTTGAATTATGTTATTGATGAACTTAGTTTTAATCATTTTATTGATGAATAATGTGTCTTCAAACCTTCATTTTCATGTAGTTATTCTTTGGGTGTTATTTTTCTCAGTCAATGGATGAGCAAAAGAGAGAAATGAAGTTGATGGACCGTGAAGCTACAGTTTCCTCCTATGTAGGTGGTTCATAAAGACTCAAATATGGTTGGTAGAGAAGGCATCCCTCTACAGGAAGGATCAGAAAAGGTAATACAATAGGCGTAACTTTTCCTCTCCAATTCTTTTTTTTTTTGAATAACTTTTCTTAACAACTAGGCTTCTCAAATAACAAATGGTTTGAATTCTTTTTTATAGATAACAAGTCTGAGAAACTATAAACTCATCTTAGTAAGGGGTTTTTTTTTAGACCACATTGCTTTGGCACAGTTTAATGGTTTTGTCATTTACAAAAAAGGACTCATTAATGACTAAGCAGTAATTTATGGGCAATACTGACAGTTAGGTTTGGCACAGAAATGGAAATAGCTTCTCTTGGATCCGACCAGTCCATCAATTAGCAATCACTTTAGGCCAAAATTCACACTAATGAAGTTCACAGTGAAGCATTAGCTGAATCTTCTCCATCAAGGTTCTATACTAATTGCTCAAGAGAGAAGCAATCGATCAATTTCTCCACCAAGGTTCTCCAACTTCATACCGTAAACATTTTACCATATCCGTCCAATTCCAATTTGTATCTTGTTTGCGATGGATGTCTTTGGTAAATCCATAAATCTTACGTCTACTTATATTAATGTGTTCCTAGTGAAGAAGAGACATAGATCATATGAGCATACAATGATAGAAGAGCAACTTCATCTATGGAAGAAGAGAATGCAAATGAGCAATTAATGTTACAATAATGTTGAAGGATGATGAAGAATACCCAGAAGTAGAGAGATATCTTCATTTTGGTTTTTCTTTTTAAATCTTATGCAAATACCATATGGCTGCAGGAGCAGGCTCATTATATCATTCCAACTATCCTTGATGATTTGAATGGTTCTGAATCAATCCTAGATCCTATCACAAAAGTTTGCACTCAAGGTGTTCAACAAAATCCCTTAAAGAGAATTTATAAAATCTAATTCTAGAGCATGAACAAGTATTTAATTTCTAATTCTGGCAGGTGATTCATCAAATACCAGGCCCCTTCCCAGCACCATGACTCTGATTCTAACATCTTTTGATCACGAGGGACAATATTAAGAAGTAAGGTCTTATGTATAACATCTTTTAGTTTGTACAATTTTTTCTATTTTTTTATCCTTTGACACCTCAGTTTCTAATTTCTTTCAAGGAACATATTTAGTGAAAGAAGTGAGTAAGTCAATGATATGGAAATTTGAAGACAGTGTTTTATTTGTAAATTATTCTTAGCAGATATTCAGGACAGTGCGTGTGGATATAAAGGGAAAAGACGTGGAGGGACAGTGTTTGCAAGTGAAGACTAAATTTGTTGTTCTGTCCTGCATATGTTGAAATAAGATGAAACCTCAACCATGAAGGTTCTTTCAACACTTTCAAGATATGGGTAATATTTTTCTCTTTCTCAGTTTTTCTCACTACTTTCTTGAATCTATTGGTCTTTTTAGAAGCTTTTAATACATTATTTAAATGCTTTATTTGACGTTCGAATGAAACTATTAAGACATTAATAGTTCTATAATATACTTGGATGCCAATTGAGAATTTTCAGTTGCTATATGTGTTTTGATTATCCGAGTATAATAATAACATAATCTAATTAAATGTTTTTTGGGCAAATCCATCCAATCAGAATCTGTTGCGGTTGTGATTTGAATTGGGATATAACATAGAAGACCAAGTGGAGAAACCTGATTCAGAAACGGGTTTAGGGTTTGAGAAGGCTGGATTGAAAGTGTAATCGATGAAATTGATCATAATACTGAAGAAATAAAAAAAAAGGAAATTCCTTAAATGGGAAGTCATCAATTGGTATGCTCTCAACGTTCTAGACGTTTCATGTTCAGTGAGAATGACATCAATATTTGTTCTTCTTTACATGAGTATGTGTTGGATAGACTGTCTAGAGAGGGGGGCCAGAACCGAAAGCCATCTTTATATAAAGTAGAGCGGTTTAATTGTCGTTATGCCATGTGGCATGCCACCTAAGATTACTCTGCTGACTCATCATAAAAATGTCATCTCATGTAGGATTAAAAAACTGACAATTAAAGAAGAAGAGGAATACCAAGCACATTTTTCATTTCCGATTAACTGGTACGGAGCACTTAACAACAACAACAACAACCCAGGTGAATCCCACAATAGTAGGGTCTGGGGAGGGTGTGTGTACGCAGACCTTGCCCCTACTCGGAAGTAGGGAGGCTGTTTCCAAGAGACCCCCGGCTCCACCTGCACAAAAATATGGAAGGGAACACAGTATAACACAGATAAAGCACCAAGTACAAGCAACAAGTACAAGCAATAGCAGAAGATTCCAAACGAATACAACACACTACAAAACAACCTCTACAGCACCAAGCTCCTATCCAGCTACTCTAATTCTAGTTTTCCAAAGGTTCCTATCTAGGGTCATATCCTCAGTCAGGTTGAGAAGTCCTAAATCCTGCCTAATCACCTCCTTCCAATTCTTCCTAGGTCTACCCGTTTCCCTACTTCCCTCGATAACTGTAATCCTCTCGCATCTCCGTATAGGGGCGTCAGGATCCCGCCGTCTCACATGGCCAAACCATCTCAACCTCGCTTCCCGCAACTTATCTTCCACAGGTGCCATGCCTACCTGACGTCGGATAACTTCGTTTGAAACCCTATCCAACCTTGTCTTCCCACACATCCATCGTAACCGCCCAACACATGAGTCTTCTTAACCGCCCAACACTCTGCCCCATATAACATAGCAGGTCTGACTACGGATCGATAGAACTTACCTTTCATTTTAGGCGAAATCTTTGGATCACACAACACCCCTGAAGCTAACCGCCATTTGGCCCAAGCCACTCCAACACGATGTCCAACATCCGCATCTAACTCCCCATCAGCCTGGATTACCGAGCCAAGATATCAAAACCTGTCTACCTTAGGTACTAGGTGCGAGTTAATCCTGACTTCCACCTCTGATTCTGTGTCCCGGCCGCTGAAACGACACTCCATGTATTCAGTCTTGTTCCTACTTATTCTGAATCCTTTAGTCTGGTACGGAGCACTTAACCTTTTTAAATTATTTTTAGGCTTTTTCTCTTCCTTCTAATCCCTGAAGAACGATGATTCGCTCTGATGAAGACGAAAGACCGGAGATCTATTCATCAAATATTTGACGTGATGGCCTCTCTGGGAGGAATGAATATTGTAACCAACGTCCTCAAGAAGGCTGCGAAAGTTCTTTATTACCGCCACGAGAGGAATTCTGCCCGTCACTCCAAGCCACCAATTTGGACAGGTTTTTTTAATTCAAATCTTACTATATAAAATGTTAGGATGCATTTTTCTACTGTGTTCCCGCCCATTTTTTATGCTACAGTGAGATTTGGACCGCACATTCTGATAAAATATCTTCCCGCATACTCACTCACTATAGATGTACTAGAGTACTGGAGAAGCTTTGCTTCTTGCATACTCACCCATATTCCGGGTTTCTAGGGTTTCTTTTGAAAGCTTCCCGAAATTTTGGTCTGGGATTTCACACGAGAGAAGCTTTGGAGTACTTGTGATTTTGGTCTGGGATTTCGCACGCCATTTTGGAGTACACGGTGATAAACCTATAGGACATCCCAAGCAACAAGACATAGAGAGAGAACTACAGGAGATTGACTTTTCAATCAGATGGGTTGCAGTGACGACACAGCGGCGGTCGAGCATCGGCAACAGAGGAGGAACTGTGATGGATTCTAGGAGGGGTATTGTCGAAGGCTTCTTCTGGAAGCCGCGCTTCACACAGCGCAGATCGGAGAGGGAAAAGAGAGGGAGTACTTTATCGACCAGAATGAAAACAGAGATGACGGGCAGACCTTTAGGAACAACGCATCTTTAGGGAGAGGTAAAGGTGAAGGTCGTGGTTGCAGGAGTACAATCAACAATTCTTCATCTTTCTCAACATTGGCCCAGCGGCTACGGTACATTTCTATTTTTTTCATCAAATTCATATAGAAACTCTCAAATTAAGAATAGCTAAGGGCACAACTCGGTGGTGATTGACATGCTAAACAAGAGGTGCATTTATTTGTTTCAATCTCTTTAATCCCTTTGATGCACTTCCTACGGGTGGCAGAGCTGGGCTAGGCCAACAACACCACCTGTAGGGATGGCAATTGTACCCGAATCCGACTTTTACCGACCCGACCGGGGCTTATAATATCCGAATCCGAACCGAGAAATTTATTGTCCGTAACCGACCCGAGAAAATTAAAGCCGAACCCGACCTTTGTCGGGTCGGTTTCAATTCATTAAATATGACCGACCCGACCCGTGCCTGACCGACCCGACATTAAACCCGACAAAAATATACTCCTTATGTTTTTTAAAAAACCCTAACCGTAATCACCCCCTATTACCCAACCATCCAGCACTGTCTCCAGCCCTCTTCCACTCATCCAGCCGTCTTCAATTCCTCGATCGACTCTCTGGCGATTGAAGTTTCCGGTCAATCCACCACCGCGATTCATCCACTGCTTTACCGGGAGCCGCTCAGCCCCTCTTCTTTACAGATCGACCTCCAGTTCTTGTAGTTCCTCAGGTATTCACTCCTTTCATATCCTCATAAAATAAGTGCTAAGAATTATTTTTGATGTATATTCTGGTCGGCAATTGATTTTTAGTTAGACAAATAATTAGTTTTAGAAGAATACTTGAATTTGGGAGGAACACTTCCAAGTTCCATAAATCTGGCCGACCATTAACACTAAGAGTACTAGTAATTTGAAATACTAAAGTTATAAAATGACAGAAGTTGGCCTATTAGGTTGTGAGTATGGTAATTTGAAGTATAACTTACTTTGCCTACAAATCATTGGTGTTGACTGTTGTATAAATAGTGAGGTTCTAGATTTTATTTTTGATTTAGATTTTGAAAATAATTAGTTGATAATTGTGCATCCAAAATCTGGTTTTTAGAAGTAGATGACTTATTGGTTTTCAAGAATCAGGTAATTTTTAATATAATTAATCTGGTTTTGAAAATAATCAATGTATATTATTGTTGGCTTTTTATATTAATATAAATATATGTTGCATTTTAGGATGGGTGAAGATGATGTTAAAGCAACACAAGAGTCAACACAAAAGGAACACAATGTACAAAAAGCAAGTGCTCCATCATCTTCAAAAATACCCCCTGAAGTAGATTCAACCAAAGATGATCAAGGGTCCACAAGATTAAAATCTTTTGTGTGGAAACATTTTTCTAGGGAATTGATAGACAATAAACTGATTGCAATATGTCATGGTTGTGGCAAAAAATATGCTGGATCAGGGAAAAGTGGCACTACACATCTAAAAAAATCATTTGAATAGTTGCATGAAATCCAAACAGAAAGTGGATGTCAGACAACAACTCATTCAAGCTTCTTTTAGAAAAGATCCTAACATGCCATATGTTCCTGGAAAGTACAAATTCAGTCAAGAAGTGTCTAGAATGGAGTTAGGCAATATGATTGTTTTACATGAATACCCTCTATCTCTTTTTGATCATGTTGGCTTTAAAAGATATTCTGCTAGCTTGAATCCTGAATTTAAAGTTGTGTCAAGGAATACAATAAAAGCAGATATTTTTAAAGCTTTCAATGATGAGAAGTCTATTTTGAAGAAGCGCATGTCTTCAATTGAAGGGAGAGTTGCCATTACTACTGATATGTGGTCAGCAAAAAACCAAAAGAAAGGTTATATGGCAGTGACAGGCCATTTTATTGATGATGATTGGAAGTTACAACATCACATTTTGAGGTAAATATCATAATCTAATAAACTTTTATACATTTTTCCTTGCTTATTAATGTCAATTTTTTCTTCCTAGGTTTATATATGTGCCAGCTCCACATACCAGCGAGGCACTCACAAAAGTTTTGATGAATGCTTTAGTCAATTTCAATTTGGATGAGAAGGTATCGACTATAACCCTTGATAATTGCACAACAAATGATGGGATAATTGATTATTTGCTTGGGAAGTCGAATCCATCTAAATTGATTTTAGAGAATGATGGGATAATTGATGATTTGCGTGAAAAGTTCAATCCATCTAAATTAATTTTGAAAGGGACTATTTTGCATATGAGATGTTGTGCACATATACTAAATTTGGTTGTTCAAGATGGGTTGAGTGTTTTTGGTAAGGCAATTGGGAAAGTGCGTGATTTAGTTGCCTACAAGAGATATGAAAAGTTTGAAGGTGCTGTTAGGTATGTTAAGATTCATGAAACAAGAAGATTGACTCTAGACTCTAAAACTAGATGGAATTCTACATATGAGATGCTCGAGATTGCATTGTTGTATAAAGATGCATTTTACAGGTTGAGACAGTGTTT